CCAGGTAGACATTTTTGCTTCCCTTCCCTGTAGCTCATTAACTCTGCAAATCTAGAAGGATCGCTTCCATCAAAGGATGTAGTCAGAATCTCATGGATCCTGGTGCTGGTGGCTCAGGTCTGTCATTTCAACTACTTAGGAGACTGAGATTCAGAGAATCACAGTTCTAAGCCAGTCTGTGCAGAAATGTCCACAAGACTCCATTTCTTGTCCATACCCCTCACCCTCATCCAGAGTTTCCTCTGGCAAGCTATCCTCTTGGATAGGACCCTGTTGATCGATTTTGGCTGACAGGCGTGAACCACCACTCTGGGCTTCTTTGGCGACTTCTGAGGCCAGAATTATCTCACAGAAGAAAGCTCTGTAACAGATCATGAATAAACTAAAATGCAACAGGAACATAAAGTTCTTTTTGAGTGCTTTTGGGCTTCTTTGTCATGTTAACACCCTGTCCTCTGCTGATTCTGCAGCAGCTGCCTCCTGCAAGTCCTCTGAAAACACAGGGGGAGCAAAGAAGTTGTTAATGAGGACAGGAGGTCCCTGAGCTCAAAGGTACAAAAGGAGACAGAAGACAAAACTTTCTTGGTATCTGCAAACCTGCCAAGGCAGCTTTGATGTCAAATCCATAGGCTTTACTCTGCTTTGGGGTCATAAATAAATGATCACATATGTAAGGAAGGCCTTATTTTATCCCTAGGTGGAAGTGTGGAGACTATGTGGGCTCCTGAAATTTCTTAAAGTGGTAAAACACTTTTTCTTTTTCATTTTTGACTATGTGAAGCTTTGCTCACTATGAATGGAAAGTTTTGTTGTTGCGGTTGTTTGTTTTTGGAGTTCTTTTGTGATCAGCTGCTCTCTTGGTGTCCACATTGGAGTAGCTCTAGCGGAATCTCGAGACAGTGACACCTGCCTTCCAGGCCAGCCTCAACCCCTTACTCTGTAAGGAGCTTCCAGCGATGATCATTATTCTCTCCCTTCAGATAGATATCTTGGTGTTGAAGTAGTTTGCTAGTTGAAATATAGACAGATATGACCAAACAAGTTGAAGTGGTTTGGGGTACACATTTGGATACACTCCCTCAAATGCAGAACATAGCTCATGAGTTCTCCAAAATGACAGCAGGAATCTCAGCTGAGATCAACAGGATCCTGAGCAAGAGGACAGCTTGCCACTGGAGGTTCTGCGCTATCCCACAGGAAGATGCTGATTTGGCGTGAGACTTATAGATAGGAAGAAACGGAAAAGTGATGGTTAGGAGAGGCTTAGTGGAAACCATATGAGAAAGGGTCAGCTTTAAATCCTCACGGACTCCAGGGAGCACAAAGCTATTCTGGGATAAATTCAACCAAATATCTTAGTTTATTCTCTTGCCTGGCACCCAACCCCAGAAAGCTCCTCCCAGAAATTAGAGAGAGAAACAATAGGAACAAGAGAAAAAGATACTTACTCAAAGCGTGCCGGTGGTCTTAGACGAAGGAGAAGGAAGATTTTTGCAACAAACATGGAAATATTTTAGTGGGCCTTCTAATTTTAAAATCAAGGCTATGTATGTGACTTAAAGTAACCCCTTGGCATATAAAGATGTGTTTTATTCAATGAGCACTATTAATGAGGACATGATGTACAGACAAGAGGAGGAGAGCTTTCTTTCTCCATCCCTTCCTCCTTGATTTTGATCTTATCTTCCTTGGCTGCAGCCATACCTGTCATGATATACTTTGAGGTCTTGGACCAACAGGCTCAGTGTGATCAGCCAGGAACAGCCCATATACCTCATCTTTCTTCTAGCTTGTAGATGTTTCCTGAGAGGTCACTTTACCTTGGGGGAATGTATACTTCAAGTGAGAGGCACATGTTTACTAATATTCATACTCCCATCATACAAGGCCATGCAAAATTTCCTCAGCATTTGATTGGACTTGACATCATCTATGTAATTCAAATGGTATATAATTTAGCTTCTCCAAGTCTGTCATTCCATGAATTCTGTTATCTATAGGAACTCCTTTTCCAATCAAATATTCAGAAAGAACAATTTCTTCATTTGTACTTTAGCAGGATAATTAGTGTGCAGTGACTGAGCAGTTCCATTGTCTGGGGGAAAGGGAAGATAACCTGACTATGTGTTTTGAGAAGAAAAATGGAATGGATCTCAGGGAGGGAAGGGAGCCTTTTTTTTTTTATTGTGAAAATACCGTCCAGAGGGGTTACATTTACATGGGCAAGATAATGAAGGGAGAGTTTTTTTTTTACTTGGGAAGTGAGGGACACTTGAACCAGATTGGACTCTGTGCTTTTGGGGGCATGCTAGCACATATATACACACACATGTATGTATATATATACTATATATAGTATGTATACTATATACTCTATACTATATATATATAGTAGTGAAATTTTCTCAATCTTTGCCAAATTATAGGGATAATGTAGTTATCTTACAAATAAAATATTAAGAGGAAGTAGACTCTTTAACTTTGGAAAGGTTGTTTGTTTGCAAGAAGCAATGAAAGAAACCACACAATTAATTCTCTACCTCTTCTGCCAAAAAATAAAGGGTCCTGCTGGTCATAGCAAACATTCACTGTAACCTTTGGTAGCAGGTCAGAAGTCAGCAGTAGCCTGAGAATAGTCTTCTCTCAAAGTTTCTTATACCCTTCATGATATTGGGGTGTGTGTGTGTGTGTGTGTGTGTGTGTGTGTGTGTGTGTGTATGTGTGTGTATGTGCGCACACGCACATGTGTAGCAGAGCTTGGGCTCAGGGCCTCACACTCACTTGGCTTGCTTGTCTACTGAAGCCATGTCTCCTATCTGGTTTTCCCTAGTTATTTTAGAGATAGAGTCTCAGACTTTTCTGCAAGACTGGCTTTTTCCTGAACCACAATCATAGAGGTCTCAGCCATGTGATTAGCTAGGATTATAGGCATAGCCACCTATACCCTGCTTGATTTTTTGTTGTTGTTGTTGGTCATGGCACTTGAACTTGCAGTCTGGGCTCTGTGTCTGAGCTGTTTTGCTCAAGGCTAGCTCTCTATCACATTCAGCCATAGCACCACTTCCGGTTTTCTGGTAGTTAATTGAACCCCAATCCTCAGATCTCCTGAATAGCTAGGATTACAAACATGAGCCACTGGTGCCCAGCTTGACTTTTTTTGTTGTTGTTGGTCATGGGGCTTGAACTCTGGGCTTGGACGCTGTCCCTCAGCTCTTCAGCTCAAGGTTAGTGCTCTACCACTTCAGCCACAACACCACTTCCAGTTTTCTGGTGGTTTATTGGAGAAAAGAGTCCCATGGACTTTCTGCCCAGGCTGGCTTTGAATCATGATCCTTAGATCTCACCCTCCTGCGTGGCTAGGATTACAGGTGTTAGCCACCAGCCCCTGGCCTGGCTTGATTTTTTTTAAACGATAGTCATTTTTTCCAAATGTCTTATAATATGCTTCATTTCAGTCACCTGGTTAATGTAGTAACCACCAGATGTCACTATTGTACAATATGTCTTTCCTTCAGGAACTTGTCCTACTATACTACTTCTGGAAATGTCCTACCAAAAGCTTCATTTCAGTCACTTGGTTAAGGTGGTAACCACCAGATGTCACCATTGTGTAGCATTTCTTTCCTTCTGCTCTTACCAAATGACCTATGAAATTGCTGACAAAAATATTCTTATCAAGAAGCATTCTTGTTTGGAGTTTAAAGCATTCCCTCCCACATTTCTATAACGTTAGGACTGTTTGTGTCATCCCGGTGTAGTGCTGGGCAGTAGATTTTTCAGTGGCTCCACATGTGAAGACCAGAAGATAGGCCCATCACAGACCCCTACCCTCCAGAGCGCTCTTCTATTATGATGAAGGAGGGCCACCTCAGTACTGGAGCATCGCCATAATGTAGGAAGGAAATGGAGTCCTTAGAGACGCTTGTGACTTGAGGAGGAGCACAGAAATAAGAGCAAATATAGTGAGGGCTGAGGGGCAGAGGATTTTCTTTTCCTCTGTAAATTTATAGTAAATAGACTCTTATTCTTAGAGATTAGTTCTTTCTGAGCACTCTAAAGTTGTTATTGGCTAGTCATCTGGTGGCTTCGGCTTGTAATCCATCAGGAGGCTAAGATCTGAAGATCTAAGTTCAAGGCAGAAAATTCCTTGAGACTCTTATCTCCACTTAGCCAGCAAAAAGCTGGGAGTGGAAGTGTGGTTCAGGTGGTAGAGCACCAGCCTTAAGTGAAACACTAAGCAAAAGCTTGAGGCCCTGAGTTCAATCCCAGTACCTTCTCTCTCCCTTCCTCCTTCCCTCCCTCCCTCTCTCTCTCTCCCTCCCTCCCTTCCTCCCTCCCTCCCTCCTCTCCTCTCACATACACTATGAAGTTGCCATGTGATCTCACTGGAATGAATCCCAGACAACATGGAACTTTGCATTATTTGGGGAAATCATCCATAGCAATGCTTTCCAACTTCACTTCCCAGGCTGCTTGTCAAGCAAAGTGAGTGAAACACAGACTCAAGACAACACTCTGATTAAAATATCAGTGATTCCTTTTAATACCATAATACTTCCATTATGCTAGCCAAAATTCAAGGCCTATGTCAAATTTTCCCACAGACCCTTCAGACTAGATTTTGAAGAGACTAAGAGACTAAGACTGAAGAAATCTGCAGTGAAATCTTCATGTTGGAGAGACTAAAGAGTTACATGAGGACATAGTGGGACACTGAGCTTTTGCCATCAGAGAACATCTCTCAGGACAGGAGAAAGAATATCCTAGTTTTATTTATACAAACTCACTGCCCCAGGCTCCATACTGGGCATAGAACAAGTCAGGAAAAAAACCGAGTCAAATCAAAGAACAAGTGGGATTTATGGATTTAGGATAGCACAGGATTACTGCAGGAGATTCTTGACACTGGAGGAGGATTATGGGTACAGAGACCTGGTGTTCCCCCTCATTCATTCACTCTCAGCTCCACATTCTTCCAGACACAAAGACAAGTCCTTGACTGCAGGCTGATCATTTATTGAACAGGTAGACGCAGAACTTATTCAGTAGAGTTGCCATGGACATGGCCAAGAGAAATGCAGAGAAAACCTTGATTCTGGATGGATTATGTCACTCTAGGTGATTAGGGAAGAAGATCTTGAAGATGCATGGATGAAATCTGTTTATTTCTTGGAACTCAGGTCACAGAGCTTTTCAGAAGATCCCTGGACATGAGAAAGGGATGAAGTTGGAACCTAAGTAATGAAGTGTTCACTCAGCTCTAAACAAGCAGAACATAGCAACTTACTAAGCAATCCTTGAACTGAATTGAGGACAAACAGAAATTCCATTACAGGAGGAGATGGTGAAGAAATAGAAATCCTTGGCATTGTAATTTTTGTTATTTACTGGGATAGGGGAACCCAGGGTACTGAGTAAATGACTTAATGCTATTGCTCATGTGGTCTTAAGCTTCCCCCAACTGATTCTATAAAAAATGGGAAGTAATGACTATTATTAATGACTAATGGCAAAATCCATTGTTAATTTTATTAAATGCTTACTTCATAGAAGTTGCTGAAACTTTCACATACATTATCTGAATAAAGTCTCACAGTAAGTCTGCAGTAGAGCTGGATGAAGTAACTCAGAATCTGTTCTCCATATTGGAGGACAGTCGGGTGGGGGCAGACATCCCCTGATGGGAAGTCGAGGGCATGCAGAGCTCCAAGGAAGACAGGGTAATCATAGTGGGGTTGGAAGAGGGCCGCCGCAGCGTGGAAGGTGGGTCACACATACAGATGTGAATGCACTCGAGGTTTAGATTCACTCCTACTATTCCTTTCCATTCCAGATTTTAAGTCTTAGTGATTCTTAGGACATTCTCAATCACTGACCTCTTTTAATCTGTGTGATATCCACACAGCAAAACTATAAGGTAAAGAGCACATTTTTCTTCATTTTTTTAAGTTACAGAAGTCATTGCTCTGAATCCAAAGTAAAGCTCTTCACAGAAGCCTCCTTATCAAATGATTTTTGTTGGAATCTTTGGCGACAACCCCATAATGCTTATGGAAGGCCCTGGTCCCGACCTACTCTAACTACAGTAATCACCAACCTGGAACCTTAGGCCTCTTCGTCATTTCAGACCTGAAGACAAGGATCTTCTGTGGCAGAAAAGGAACACGTTTAGATACCACCTCCTTTATATTTCTTTGAGAGAAACTAATGTCTCTCCAAAGGAGACAGATCATCTTCCCTAGAATTTTCCCTTCAAGGAGAGAAAAGTGAGGTAGCCAAACTTACCATCTTTTGTCAGGTCCACTATATTTTCCTCAGCAACTCCGTGTTTTTCACAAACTTCCGCAAATTTTTCCTTAATTTCTGCTCTCACATCTGGTTGTCGGCCTGGAAATAGAGTGACAGTAACCAGAATGTTGTTGGCATAGAGATGAATGAAGAAGCAGGGATCTGGGAACTCAGGCAGATTTTGACATCAGTAGGACATTTTTCTGACTTTAAGAGGGATTTTATAATCTTTTCATTACTGATCCTGGGGGAAGACCAAAGGTAAACAAATGTCATCAGTAGGGGAGAGATGGCCCAGAGATAATTGGGAAGACCATTTTATATCTAAGATTCCCTTTTCTTTCCCCTCCCTTCCCACTCCCAGATAAGTATCATGACAAGAAATACTGTACTGGGGGGCTGGGAAAGTGGCTCAGTGGTAGAGCGCTTGCCTTGCATGCCTGAGGCCCTGGGTTCGATTCCTCAGCACCACATAAGCAAAAAGAAAAAAGCCAGAAGTGGCACCGTGGCTCAAGTGGTAGAGCACTAGCCTTGAACTGAAGAGCTGAGGGACAGCATCCAGGCCCAGAGTTCAGGCCCACAACCAGACCCCCCCGCCAAAAAAAAAAAAAAGAAGGTGAGAGATCTGCTCTTCAGAAGCCCCTGGTCAGAATGAGTGATTCTTGAAAACAATCTATAAAGAGGAGAAACTCTTAAAAGTTATAGGAAAATATGAGACAATGGTTATGAAGAAAAGATGGAAAAGAAGGAATGGGAAAATAAGATTTCTTGCAATTAATCACTGACCATCTAATCTGTGATCCAGAACAGATGAGCAGAGCTTTATCTAAGGAGCACAAGGAGTGGATGGAAAATAAGCAAGATTTGGTAAACTCTGACTCTCTCCTCCTCTGGTTGACAGGGAAATAGAAGAGTTGTTTCTGGGAAGTAAAAGACTTTTGTGCATCTGGCAATGAAAAAGAGGAGACTTTTTGTTTTTCTGCTAGCCTATGAGCCAGGAAAGTGAACTCCTTCCTTTTGACTGGAAGGGTTGGCACTCTGACAAGTCTCAGTTGGTATAATAGTAGCAGATGAATTACATGAACACCTTGTCACCTTCCACTACTCTGCAGAGCAAGTCTTCTAATCTTTGCCATGGACCCAATTGAGTATGGGCCTGATTCTTGTCAATATTTATTCCAAGGCTAGATTATATATAATCATATGGTATACCATAAATGTGTAGATTTTGAAATTTACCACTTAAAAAGGTTTGAAGATTATAGAAAAAGTCATTCCAGATTTCCGAAAAAGGGATATAGAATTGACACCAGAATCCAAACTACTATATTGAAAGTCAAATTGCATCAGCTAATTTACATCTGAGGCCTTTAAACTTTGACAAAAAACAATCTGGTAATCTAACAAAATCTTGTTCAAAGTCAGGTTTGTAGAGGAAGCTCTAGACCTAGGATCTGGCCAGGTCTATGAAAATATATACAATGGAACATGCTTTATCTTAGCACAAATCTCGTCTACCCTGGGTCAGACATAAAAAGTAATATTTAAATGCTCAGAATACAGAATGTAAGAAATGGATGTGCTTGACAGATTTATTTCATTCAATCTTCATAATAGCTCTACATGGTATGTAATATTATCCTGTTTTTACAGTGGTATGGAGGAAGACTCAAAAAGGTTAAGTAATCATACCAAGGTCACACTGCCAATAAGTGAGAGAACTCAAACTTGGACCTAGACTATCAAATCCCAGAGCCCCTCCTCTTATTAGTCTACTCCAGAGGTCATGGCCGATGGAGGATGGTGCCATAGAAGGGCGAGCAGTGCTGTAGACTTTGGGAAGTGTCTACCTGGGAATTGCTACTAAAGACACTGTCTGAAGATTTCTTTAAAAAAAATGGGGCAATGCTGAACTAAGGACACAGGATAACCCATTGCAACAATAAGACTTACAAGACACTATGTTGGAAATGAACTTTACAATTTTGGGGTGGGGGGAGTGGGGAAGGAAGGTGGAGGAGGGAAGGGATGGTAGGAGAAAAACAAAGGAGGGGGTAACAATGCTTGACAGGAAACATACTCATTACCTTATTCATGCAACTATAATTCCTCTGCACAGCATCTTACAAAAAATAAAAATTTAAAAAATGGTGCACTATGGGTGTAGCTGTAAGAGTCTGATAATTAAAGAGTGACAAATCATCTCTTCTGACACATTGATATTTGATGGTTGATTTAGGAATCACTGCTTTTCTAATAAGGAATAAGAAAATCCTTCAAAATGCACAACATTTCTTTTCCATTCATGGCCTCAAAGCAAGTGTCTGTAAACCAACTCTACTAAGATTTGTGCACCCAGCTACACATATGCAGCATCTTATAAGTGATTAGAAGGGAGGGTGAGTAATAGTCCATACCAAGATGTTGAGAATCGACTGGCCAATATGTAAAGAGACTTATGGAGTACTTAACAACCCAGCTAAAAGTCCACTTTTAATCAGATAGCCTGACAAAAACTAACTGGCTTATTGGAAATAGACTAATTCACCTTGTCCCTAATCACACTCTTGAAATCAAATCATTCATTGAGAATGCAAGTGGAAATTTTCAAGTCTCATTACATTATGCCAATATTCAGTGTTCAGAAGAAAACAAGAAACAAGCTTGTTCGGTTCTCCTGCCAGGATGGAAATATTCCTGGTCCCTTATCTCCAAGAACCAGCTCAAAACCAGTTCTAAAACATCTGCTTCCATCAGTGGCAGAAGGAGGCTTGGAGCTACCAAACTCCACCTGGATCAGATGGGTCCTCTGAAAGCAGGGACTGAGGAGCACAAAGAGTTCAATGGGGAATAACTTGGGAAAGGTGTATGGAGGAAGCAGAGTTAGGAGGGGAAGCTAATAAGCTAATAAGATAAAAGTCTTAGCAGAAGACTGCTTAGGAAAAAGTCTTCCTCAGTCACAGAGTAAGTGGGGTGGCCTCCTGAAAGGAGTAGTAGCTCAGCTCACAAGTTGAAGCAAACGTGAACGAGTTAACAGTTGTGCCTTCCAGCCAGCTACTCCCACCAGGTACCGAGTCTCTTCTGGAAGGGTGAATCCAAGCAGTACATCTGTTTGTTTGGCATCCCATCCTACTCTCCAGAAAGTGTTTTAGTACTCTTCCCATATAGAGAGGGAGAGAAGTGGCAGAAGAACCTCTTTGCCGTCCTCATTAGTCTGAAATGTCTTCCACCATATGAGACACAATGGCCCTAGATGACTAATTGAGCCTGAGAACAGAAAGTGCTTGGGTTTTGAAAATCTATGGCCAGGAGGGATACTGAAAACAAAACAAAACTTGTGTCCCAAGGCACTTCGATTGTGAGACCATCTCAGACCCATTGTCTCCATGGTAATGGTACAGTAACAAAACAGGTTAATGGAAAGTCTACTTGCCTGAAGATCTGGCCTGCTCTCCCTCTTCCCTTTCTCTGTGCTTTGTCTTCCTATGCAATGTACATCTCTGCTGGCCTGCTCCCCTGTGGGCCCCCTTCCTTTGTGGATTACTTCAAAATTTGTCATTAGTCCAAGTTCGTGGGGCTTTGAAAAACTGAGTAGTTTTATGGGACATCTTTTTTTCTAGTGACAGCCATAAGGGCAATAATTTCACAATATTTGTGTTCATTCTGTTTTGTTCTTGAGTTATGAAGTTTTTCTTTCCTTTTTTTCCTTTTAAAACATAATTTGATTGTAATTACTAATATGTTCTACAGAGGAGTTACTATTTCGTAAGTCAAGTAATGCGTATATTTCTTCTGTATATTTCTTCTTTGGACAATGTCTTCGCTCTCCTCTAATCTCCTCCTCTCATCCCTGCCCACAAATTATATAGTTCATTTCCCACATAATGCATGCTGAATAGTTCCATTGCATTTGTTCAACCTTTCTTCTTCCCTTTCTTTCACTCTCCTGTTCCCCCTGAAAAGAAAAAAAATCCAAACAAAAAACAAACACCACCACCAATAATAATAATAACAAGGAGAAATCCATGTTTCTGTTTCCTGGAATTTGTTTTGACAAATAGTACTTTAAATGTGATGTTAAAGGTGTAACTCCAGTTCGACCTTTGGGTTCCTGTCTTAAGGTTTCCTCCATTAGTCTGTTTGTGTGTGAGCGCTTAGAGTCCCCTGTAGATTGTGTTCTCTTGATTTCGTAGTGCCCAAGTCGCAGGACCCCCACCAAGAAGAACACTGAGTGTCAGACATCCCGAAATGCAAAAGCACGGTTTTATTTAGACGGGCTGCAGCTTGGGCCTCTTCCTGCACTCCGACACAGTGGAGCCTAGGAGGAGAGCCCCCAGCTAAAGATTTGCAGGGCTTATAAAGGCAAACAACCAGGTGTTTGGATTACCACCACGTGTTGCTCTGCTAGCTGAGATAATTGGTGATCTAGGTTTGCTCACAGGATTTGCTTATCTTAGGTTTTAACCTTTCAATAGTTTAAACAAGCAACAAATAGTCACTGCCTCAAAAATGGCGTTAACCCTTCAATTGGACAGAAATCACATATCTACTGGGCAAAAATAATTTTCACATTCTCAAGTTTTAAAAAATTGATCTCTAATTTCACATCTCATGAATTTTGCAGTGAATAATAAGTTAAACATAGCCACACTTGCTAGGAAAGTGAGCTGAACCCCCTGACAGCTTATTAGATAGAATTCTAATCTTACATCAAAGGACACCAAGTCATCTCCTTTCTATTTCCGTAGTTTGCTACCAATTTTAAAAACACTAGATTCTTTAGAGACCCATACATTGGAAAAGTATTAGTGAAGAGATCATTGGCTTTGAATTAAAAAAACCTGGATACAACTGCTCACACCCTATAACAACATCTGAGAACCTAAGTTTCCACAAACACTTGTTGCAAAGATAATTTGGAAAGGTGGGCACTGGTGGCTCACACACATAATCCCAGCTATTCAGGAGTCTGAGATCTGAGGATCACCATTCATAGCCAGCCCAGGCAGAAAAGTCTGTGAGAATCTTTTATCTTTCATTGACCATCAAATAGCCATAAGAAGAGGTATGGCTCAAATGTTAGAGAGCTGTCCTTGTGCAAAAAAACACTAAGTGAGAATACTAGGCTCTGAGTTCAAATCCAGTACCTGCACAAGGAAGGAAGGAAGGAAGGGAGGGAGGGAGGGAGGGAGGGAGGGAAAGGAGGAAGGAAGGAACGAAGGGAGGGAGGGAGGGAGGGAGGGAAAGGAGGGAGGGAGGGAGGAGTTTGACATTACTGAAATGTAATATGTTCCCAGTAAATATTATTTACCCTCTCCTTGTCTTGTCTGTGACTTAGCAAATTCCTTCCTTTCTCTGGGCCTCAGTACAGTATGATAAAAATGAGAAGACTGGTTCTGAAATGGGACAGAGGGAACACCTTTTGGAGAACACTACTGACATCTGGCCTCCAGGATACTGAGACAATAAAGCACCTCTGAAGCGGAGGTGGTCCCCAAAGATGGAAGGATCTTGTTAGACTCGATCTCGAGACCCCGGTGCGACCCCCAGAGACCACGACCAGTGCAAACAGCAAAAGAGTCGTTTATTTGCAAGCTTGGAGTCACAATCGTCACTGACGCAGTGGGTCAGAGTTGTGAGCCCCGACCCCTTGTCCAGCAGGGTTTTTATTGAGTGTGTAGCAGGGGGAAGGATGTCTCAAGCTCATTAGTTAGGAGTATGATCATTTCCAGTAAGGGCAGGCACTTTCTAGTTTAGCGGTTACGGGATAGGTTAAATCATACATCATTGATTGGATAAGTGGGCCTAACCACAGGAATGCTGAATATGTCTTGTCCGACAGAGTTGGGGGGGAGAGACTGCCCAAATTCCTGGACTGGTCAGGGCAGCCTGATCCCTTTTCTTACTGTTATCTTGCCTTGGTGCAAGATCTAACACTTACTTTCTAGTAACATATGACAAATGTTTTAGTTTTGCCTGGAATTACTACTAAACTTATTTTTGGTCTCTCAACATGTCTACAACACCCACATTGAGAAAAGCTGCATGAAACCATGTGGGCATTGAACTATTTCCCCTTTCAACAACAAATGGATGCTTCTGGTGTTTTCTTCAAAGGATGGCAGATAGGCAGCAGTGCTACCAAGACCTGTTTTGGTTAATGAAAGTACATTTTGTTTCTAACCCTTTAATCATTCCCTAAACAATTCATTATATAACTGAAATGTTACTGTCATTTGTTGGCCTGTTCTTGCCTGAAGGCTAGCTCTTGCGTTTTGCTGCTGCTGGTCACATTGAGCAGATTTTTTTAATGAGATTGCTCCAAAACACCTTTATTAGGAATCAGCTGGTGATTCCAGAGTGCCCAGGCCCGGTATAAAGAACCACAAGGGTATTAAAGACCCCAAGTCATTTAGCAGGAAAAAGACAAACATTTTACTACCCACAGCAGCAATGGCAGTGGCCACAGCATTCCAAGAGAAAGCTTGAGTTCAACCAGCCTCATTCTGCCTCTGTTCACAACCACCAGTCATCTTTTCACTTGCTCTTGAAGCAATACATTTGCCCCAACAGCCAAGAGAAGTCTAACAGGAACCTTACAACAAGTCAAATAAATGCATTGCCACCAAGCAAATGTTATAGGATAGAATGCAAATAGAAGATCCCAACTAGGAAAATCTGTCAGCCCTCTGAGGACAGGAACAATGCCTGTTCACTGATGCATGCTCAGGATTTGGGGTGTTTATTTTTATTTTTGACTAGGCAAACAGCCAGGACTAAATAAATTTTAGTAGAATAAATAAAAGTGGGAGAGACTGAAAGGAGAAGGAAGATTATGAAACAATCAGGTGATAAGCAAAGGGCCTTCCAAGAAGAAGGAAGAGGAGATAATGCAGAAGCTAGCAGCAAGCATGTCTATAGAAAGTTCAAGGACCAAAAGGAAACCTGTGTTGCTGGAGCGTGGACAGCAGAGGGACTGGAAAGGGGCTTTGTTCATTAGCTAGGGTTGCCCTCACAAAAGCTCTGCTGTCAGCGGTTTAAATTTCACAGCACTGGAAGTCTGAGATCTTCTGAGATCTCTCTCCTTGGATTGTAGATGGACACCTTCTCCTGTGTGTTCACATGGCCTTCACACTGGGAGAACCTGATTCAGAAAACTCTCCAGCATCCCTACAACTGTGGATGTGTGGATCTGTTCAGCTTATGTGTGGGTGAGAGAGGGAGAATCCATCATTACATTTCCCATCAGTAGTTCAGAACACCAGTGGAGTTCATAGAAGGAGGCAAAGAGGAAGACTCATGTAGAATAGGCAGATGCAGGAATGGGCAGCGTTGCCACCTACTGGCCACCCGGAGTTGAACTGTATCAGGGTGAGTCTCCTATAACCTAGGCAAATGCTTTACTACTTGAGTCATGCCTCCAGCCCCTTTTCTGGTATTTATGTGTTTTGCTGGCCCATGAACTCAGGGTCTACATGCTGATTTGAAGCTTCTTTTGCTCAAGGATAGCACTCTACCACTTGAGCCACAGAGTCACTTCCTGCTTCTTCTGACTAGTTTATTGAAAATAAGTGTTTTGCGAAGTTTTCTGTCCCAGCTGGCTTCAAACTGTGATTCTCAGAAATCAGTCTCCTGAGTGGCTAGGATTATAGAACTGAGCCACCAGCACCCAGCTTTGTTATTTTTATTTTTTACTTCTTTTTAATTTTTATTATAAAGGTGATGGACAAAGAGTTTGCAGTTATATAAATCAGGTATTGAGTACATTTCTGTTTAAACTGTTCACCCCCTGTCTCTCAGTTTGTTCCTTTCTGACCCTTGTCACCCCAAGTTGTATAGCTCATTTTCACTATAGTATCGAGGGAGTATAACCGCTGAATTAGTTCCCTTTTGTCGGATCATTTCTGTTTCCTTTTTCCCTCTCCAAATTAGATAAACTTACCTATAAGATAAAGGTACAGAAATAATAAACAATGACAAGGAGGAAAAAGTGAAACAAAAAAGGACCTCAAACAGTACAATAAACAAAAACCTTTGTTTCCATTTCTTGGAGTTCATTTCAATAAGCATCATTTTATGTGATCATAAATTGAGCCTTTGTGATCCTCCTAAGAAAGTCCTCCTCTGGTCTCACTGTGTGAGTGTTCAGAGTCCTGTTTAATTTATCATGTCCATGTATAATTTTTGTCTCTTATTATAGATTGGGTTTATTTGTAGATTTATAATCACATTCTAGTAATCACAAAGAAGGGAAACCATGCAGCCTATGTTTCTTTGGCTTACTTCACTCAGTATAATTTTTCCCATGGCTTTCCATTTCCTTATGAATGGTATAATACCTTTCTTTCTGATTCATGAGTAGAATTCTTTTATGTATATATACTACATTTTCTTGATCCATTTGTGCACTGAGGGGCAGTTAGGTTGACTACATATCTTGGCTATGGTAAACAATGATGGTAAACAATGATCATGATTGTGGTGGTGGCTTTACTGTGGCCTGGTTTGTGGTCAAGTGGATATATGCCCAGGAGGGTGATTGCTGAGTCATAGGGAAGTGCTATGTTTACACTTTTGAGGAAACTCCATACACATTTTCAGAGTTGAAAGAGTTTACAGACCCACCAACAGTGAAATGGAGTTCCCTTTGGGCCACATCCCCGCTAGCATTTGTTATTGTTAGTTTTCCTGATGATGGCCATTCTCCCTGAAGTGAGGTGGAATCTCAATGCTGTTTTAATTTGCATTTCTTTCATGGCCAAGATCTTAAACACTTCTTCATGTGTCAATGGGCCATTCTTTTTTTCTTCCTCTGAGAAGTCTCTTTTTAAGTCTTTAGCCCATGTATTGATTGGGTTGTTGAGTTCTTGACAATTAACCTTTTGGGGGTTTAATTTTGTGAGCTCTAAGTCTATTTTGGATATGAGGTCCTTGTCTGATGCATCTCTAGTGAAGATTTTCTCCCATTCTGTAGGATTTCTATATATCTTGCTACATATCTTGTCCTTTGCTTTTCAGAAACTCTTCAGTTTGCTGGACTCTCCTGTATCCAGGCTTTCCTTCATTTGTTGTGATTCTGGATCTTTAGTGAGGAAGTTTGGTCCCATGCCTACAAGGTCTAGGGTTTCCTTTATCCCTTTCTGTAATATTTTCACAGAATTGTCCTTATGTTGAGGACCAGATCATATTCTTGACTCAGGAGTAATAAGCTGCCTGAACCTGATTTAGGCTGTTGAAATGGAGGAACACAAACTATACAGAGCTTCAAACTCCGAGATAATCTTCTTAATTAACCTTCATGCCTATACTGGTTAAGCCTTTCCTTCCTTCCTTCCTTCTTCCTTCCTTCCTTCCTTCCTTTCTGTCTTTCTTTCTCTTTTTTTTTTGTGTGAGATACGTCTTACACTTTGACAGCCTGGTGACAATCTCAATATATCTGTCTTTCAATGCCCCATTGAGAAAAAGATTCAAGGAGCATGGGTACTGGTGGCTTACACCTGTAATACTAGCTACTCAGGAGGTTGAGAGGACAGGTTCATGGTTCAAAACCAGCCCATGCAGGAAAATACATGAGACTTTTACCTTCAGTTAGCCAACAGAAAACCAGAAGTAGAGTTTTTGCTCAAAGTGATAGAGCTATTCTTGAACATAAAAGCTCAGGGAGAGTGCTCAGGCTCTGAGTTCAAGCCTCACAGCTAACTATCACACAGAAAAAATGATTCAAGGGTAGAGAGGGTATGGAGCAAGTCTAACATGCTTTATGTCCTATTGTGTCAGAAAAAATAGGCACATCAATGAGCAAGTGGGATTAACGGATACAGGATAATTGAGGATTACTGGATGAGAGTCTTGAAACTTGATGCAGATTCTAAGACACTGGAGGAGGATTATGGGTACAGAGACCTGGTGTCCGCCCTCATTCATTCACTCTCAGCTCCACATTCTTCCAGACACAAAGACAAGTCCTGTACTGCAGGCTGATCATTTATTGAACAGGTAGAGTCAGAACTTATTCTGGAAGACTTGTCGTGGACATGGCCAAGAGAAATGCAGGGAAAACCTTGATTTGTGATGGGTTAAGTTGTCCTAGGTGATCAGGGAGGAAGATCTTGAAGATCCAAAGATGATGTCTGTGTGTGTGATGGAACTCAGATCACAGAGCTTTTCAGAAGATGCCTTGAGATGACAAATGGATGAAGCTGGAACCCAAGCAATGCTGTGTTCACTCAGCACTAAAGAAGCAGAGGAGAACATGGAAACTGCCTAAGCATTCCTTGAAGTGAATGGTGGACAAACGGAAATTCTATTACAGCGGCCAATGGTGCAGTAATAGAACTCCCTGGAATTGTAACTTGTGTATTTACTGGGATAGGGGAACACAGGGCACTGAGTAAATGACTTATTTCTATTGCTTATGTGGTCTTAAGCTTCCCCCAACTGTTTCTATGAAAAATGCAAAGTAATGACTATTATTACTGACCAATGGCAAAATCCATTGTTAGTTATTAAATGCTTATTTCATAGAAGTTGCTGAAATTTTCACATAAGTTATGTGAATAAAGTCTGACACTAAGTCTGCAGTACAGCTGGATAAACTAACTCAGGATCTGTTCTCCATACTGCAGGACAATCAGTTAGGGGCAGACATCCTCTGATGAGAAGTCAAGGGAGGGCACGCAGAGCTCAAAGGAAGACATGGTAATCATAGTGGATCAGGAGATGCCTCCTCATCTTTTAGATGGGCCACAAACACTGATGTGAATGGATGAGAGTTTGATATCACTCCTAAAATTCCTTTTCCCATTCCAGATTTTAAATCTCAGTATTTCCTATCCATTTTCAATCACTGACCTCTTTTCATCTGTGTTATCCACACAGCAAAATTGTAAGGTAAAGAGCATTTTTTCTTCATTTTTTAGTTGCTGAAGTCATTTTCTCTCAAGCTCCTCGCAAAACTGGGTCCTGAATCCATGGTTCCCAAGTCCAGAGTAAATTCTCCATGCATACTCCCTTATTAAGTTATTTCATTGGGATCTTTGGCAACAACGCCATATTCTTATGGAAGGCCTGGTTGTAATCCACCCTCACCCACTAATTACCAACCTGGAGCTTACTCTTCATCACTTCAAGCCTGAAGGCAAGGATCTTCTGTGGCAGAAAAAGAACACATTTAGATGCCAGAGCCTTGATATTTCTTTGAGAGAAACTAGAAGACTCTCCAGCTTGCAACAAAGGAGATAGATCAGCTTCCCTTCAGTGTTCCCCTTTTGTGACGTAAAATTCAGAGAGAGAAAAGCTAGATAGCCACACTTACCAACTTTTGTCATGTCAATTATGTTTCCCTTAACAATTCCATGTCTGTCAGAAAACTCCATAAACTTTTTCTTAATTTGTTTTCTCACATCTGGTTGTCGGCCTGGAAAAAGAGTGTCAGTAACCTGAGTGTCTTGGGAATTGGTCCTGAAGATGAATTTAGAAGCAGGGATCTAGGAGGATGGCAACCACTGGGCACTCAGGCAGAATTTGACATTAGTAGGGTATCTTGCTGACAGGATGGGAGATTTTATAATTTTTTCATCACTGAGTCTGCGGAAGGACCAAATGTAAACATCTTTCCTTACGAGGGGGGGAACGATGGCCCAGAGATCATTGGGAAAACCATTTTATATAAAGGATTCTTTTCTTCCCATCCCGAGAAAAGTATCATCATACAAATCCATTACCATAGAGTAGAATGACTTGGAAATTGTTCTTATTCTTCATAAGAATGATAAGGTATTCATCATATTTTACGTCAGCTATACTAACCAGATTTTCTCCATCATCTGTGGAGAAAGCAGAACAAAGCCAGAAATTCCAAATTACATGTGAGTAATGGAAACTATTTACCTGTCCTCTTCCCATGCAAACCCAAAAGTCAATGCATATTCTGAAAGAAATGGGGTGAGAATATCTCATGCCTTCTATTTGCATATCCTTGGGCTTCATAGGAATTTCTAACTGCAGTGATCACTAGTGAGCAGAGTACTTGTCCCCAACAGCAACTTCTCCTCCATCACCCTCTTTGAGATCTGTCCATGTCCTTCAGCATTTCTGTGGGTGACATGCCTCTGTGTTCTCATCACAAACATGAGGCTCCATACTGCAGAACATGCTATGGCATTGGCCATTCAGAGTTATCAAACATTTCAATAAATGAGAAACTACCCTACCCGATTTGCTTTGCCTTTTTTTCATTCTGCCAGCTAATTTTTGTTGCAGGGAATACATTGAGCCAAGTCGCCCTCTTTTACTTGATGTGAGTATGTGCCAGGCATATTCCCTAACTTCAGAATGGATTAGAATAGGCTCCATGTATTAGGAAAATGAGTGATATTAATTGATTACGGGCCTAAACATAATGGAAATTTTTTGTTTTTTTTATAATTTAATTTTATTGTCAAGGTGATGTAAAATGGGGTTATAGTTACATACACAAGGTAATGAGCACATTTCTTGGTGAACATTGTTACCCCTTCCCTCATTTTTCTCCCACCCAACTTTAATTTGAACACCAAATAAATGGATATAATATCTTCATTATAATCTCATATACATCCTTACTTAATAGCTGTTTTTCTCCCCAAGTATTTGTCCTGATACAAAAAATCCATTTATAGCTGAGTATGGTGATATTTGACATAATCTTAGCAATAGGGAAATAATTGTAGGTATAGGAATAAGACTTAGAGGCCAATCTGAGTTACACAGCAAGACATTGTCTCAAACACCAAAACAAAATGTGTAATTATTCAACACTGAAAATATGTGCTCAACTACATACTTGTACTTAGCACTAGTTATGATTTGAGTAAATCATTTTCTCAAAAAAGTAGAATTATTTTTTGTTTTTTGTTTTTTTTTTGTCGGTTGTGGGGCTTGAACTCTGGGCCTGGGCGCTGTCCCTCAGCTCTTCAGCTCAAGGCGAGCGCTCTACCACTTGAGCTACAGCACCACTTCCGGTTTTCTGGTGGTTTATTGGAGATAGGAGTCTCACGGTCTCTCCTGCCCGGGCTGGCTTTGAACCGCAATCCTCAGATCTCAGCCTCCTGAGTAGCTAGGATTACAGGCGTGAGCCACCAGCGCCCAGCAAAAGTAGAATTATTTTTATAAATGATTTTGTAAAATGATTTTTGATTTTTATAACATGATTTTATAATTTCTTTATTTGTGAGCTAGTGTCCAAATTACTCTGATCAAAAAAGATAAATGGCAAGTGAAAATAGTTTTGTTTAATGGATATTTTCTGCCAAATTTGTAACTTTTTTTGTTCTTAATATATTTTTTTATTCTAAAGATCCTGTACAGAGGAGTTACAGTTATATGAGCAAGATACTGAGTCCTATTTCCTATTGAGCATTGTTACACCCTCCTTTATTTTTCCCCTACCATCCCTTTCCTCCCCAAGATAATGGAATTTAATAAATCCCTTGCAGCTAGAAATATAATTTAGAAAGATTTTTGTATACTTACAAGAAGCAGTATATATGCCATCCTGGTCTGTTTTATTACAAGCTGTACTCACTTCGAGACACTGTCCATTGTCACTGTAAAACAGAATGAGTTCATGCCTCACTTCAATCATAACTTGAGTTTCTGACTCCACTTTCATTATGAACACATTTCACAATCACCAAATGGGTTTATTGATACTACTTGTTTCTGTCTGTATCTCTGTTTCTGTCTCACTGTTGGTCTGTTTCTCTCCACCAGCCCTGCTCATGTTAGTCCTTTGTCTTGAATTCGTGGCCTGGGACTGTCCTTGAGCATTTGTACTCAAGGCTAAAGATTACTTGAACCTCAGCTTCAATTTCATACTTCACAGATGACTAAAACAACCTTTTCCTGCCGTTATTTCCAACTCTTACTATACCACGGCCACTCGTCTAGCTCATTAGCTGACTTTTCACCATTTGCTGGCTTTATAGATGTCACATGCCTTGCTCAAAAACTCATGGAGTAGAATCATTACTTTACCTTTTTCCTCCAGAAAATCAATGTGGAAAGGGATGCATCTTCTTGGTTAACTACTGATAAGAGATTCCCATTGCACATTCCTTGCTCTTAACTTATGCTATACTGTCACAGTAATGAGATTCAACTGTGTCTACCCTTTGCTTCTCCCACTCCTACTGAATCTATTCCTGTAACCAACTCTTGATTCCTGCAGAGCCCATCAGGTCCTGAGTCAATGTCAGATGAGGGACTCTGGTTGAGATACAGGCAAAGCATGGACAGCTACACCACTGCCTGTGGTGTGTCCACGCGTGTCCATGTGTTTGTATGTACATGGGTGTGCCTCTACTTGTGTGTGTGCTTTTGTGTATGTAGAAGTCCAAGACAAAAGCCAGGTCTTGTTCTCCCTTTCTCAAACAAAAAGAGGCCGCACTTACAGTCTATGGAATTTAAACAACAAGGAAGCGTTCTTTAAGACGTCAATATACTCCAGAAAAATTCTCAAGGTACCATTTTCTTCTATCCTCTCCTTTTGGCCGGTGGCTATGAGGATGGTAAACCACTCCCCTATAATCTGCAATAGGTAAGGAGGACGATTGAGGCAAGAGAAGCAATATCACGTGGGCATTTTTCTCTGTGGCTTTAGCCTGTGGGCCTGGCCTTACAATGTGATTTGCAGTTGGAATTAAGTCTCAGGTCCATTGACACAGCAAAGTAGGCCCTTTTCTGCTGCCCGTCCAGCAAGAGAGGCTGCCCCAAGCATGGTCACATTTCACTATGGTCCAACTGCTCTTAGTTGAAGGTCTGAAACCACTCCTTTTGTCAAATGTTAAAGCATTTCTGAGCCCTCAAAGGATTTACCTGGCTTCAGATTTCCCCAAGGCTTCTCCTTCCCCCAGTATAGTCAGATTTGAGGTTCTCCATGACTCTACCTTTGATGGTTCAAAGTTCTTCACAACTTCCATTTCTCCTTCACTGTAGGTACAGACCAGGGTCAGCCCCAGACATAGGAGCAACAGCTTCATCTTTGTAGTGGATTAAACTGTGTCTCCCACAAGCACCAGAGTCTTTCCCTGACCGTGGTTCTACTTCAAAGCTCCTTGGTCTTTATATACTTGAGTCCAGTTTTAAACTACAAGTTTCTACTTTCCCTCCTCCTCCCCCAAGAAATAATTACGCATTCACAGTCATTAAACCAAGTCATTAAACTTGCTGCCCTTTGAAACTTGGGCATTTGTCTCTTTTGCAGTGACCTTATAATTATCAAAACACATACTGAGTTTGGCAAATGGTGACAAGGCTGTGTACTACCTTATTCCCACCAACTGATTTTCTCCAAGAATGCTGGCATGCTATAATCTGGCCTATTTTCAAACTGAATCTGACTCTTCTTGGAATGTGAGGCTGATAGGAGGGTTGACTACTCTTGCTGTGTAGATTCTCTTGATCTCATTCCACCACCATTCCTAACTCTGCAGTTTCTCCTCCTGATTGATTCCCTGTGAGAAGATTAACCATCTTCTAAAGGTGTAGATCTATCCTGTTCACATGGATACCCACTATATGCCTGCTCAATAACTTCACCTTTGGAATTTTGTCTACTAATGCTATTTTTAAGTACTATGGAGTTTTCTAACAATAGGAATGAGATTTATTTAAAAAAATCTCTTTGTAGGTATGTCTATTATAATGAGGTAGTGACTCATTTTTATATACTTGGACACAGGTGTAGAGGGTAGAACACAAAACTAAAGTCTAGACTTGAAGCCTCTATTTTGTATGATCTCATCTATTAAGGCCTGATCTAACTGTACTCCACACTGGCTGTCTGACTTCATTTCAGATCTACAATCTTTTATGGTGATTGGCTTAAGCATTTCCAGAATAGCCTGTGAACATTAAGTGAACAACTCGAAGCATTAAAAACACCTGAGCACTGTGATATAATCTAACTAGGTAGCTAGACAGAGCCAATCCTGAACTAATAATCAGTCAACACAGAGAAGTCCTTTGCCTTATAATAGAATTTCCTTAACTAATATTTTGCTATTGCTAAGGGTCCCAGGAGTTTGTCCCTGCGTCCTAGATTGGGACAGGCACGGGCCTCAGAGGGATATGCTCCCACAGAGCGGTGCAAGAGATTGTCCTCACTTGTATCCTAGGCTGGCACCTTCTAAGTCCTGCGCTGGCACTTACTTTTCATAGACTGGGGGGCTGCAACTCCAGATTGGTGGGCTCTTTGCCCAGGATTGGCTGGCTCATGCATGTTGGGTGACAAGCACTTGTCCCAGGCTAACTCACACTGGGCAAACTATCCCAAGTTTGGCCATTGGGCTGTCAAGTTCTCCACAGACTGGTGAGCACTGATCCTGCTTGGGGTGAGGGAGGGGGGTTATGCCTATTGGGTGGGTGTGAGCTTCTGAAGGGTCAGGCTTGCTTGGAGAAATTTAGATCACATTCTTGATTCAGTTATATTTAACTGCCTGTACTTGATTTAGACTTTTGAATTGGAGGAGCAGCAAAATATACAAACTTCAAATCCCTAGCTAATCTTCTGAATTATCTCTTTTTTGTGTGTGGTCATGGGGCTTGAACTCTAGGCCTGGGCACTGTCCCTGAGCTCTTCAGCTCAAGACAAGTGCTCTACCACTTGAGCCACAGCACTACTTCTGGTTTTCTGTTGGTTTATTGGAGATAAGAGTCTCACAGACTTTCCTGCCTAGGCTGGCTTTGAACCATGATCCTCTGATCTTAGACTCTTAGTAGCTAGGATTACAGGCATGAGCTACCGGTGCCCAGCTGAATTATCTTTTATACCTATAATTACTGAGCCTTTCTTTCTTTCATTCTTGCTTTCTTAGCATGAACACGTCATATACTTTGTCATGCTGGCATCAACTTCCATTGTATCTGTCTGTCAGTGTCCAATTGAGAAAAAGATTCAAGAAAGCTGGGCACTTATGGCTCACGTGTGTAATCCTAACTACTCAGGAGACTAAGAGCAGAGGATCATAGTTCGAAGACAGCCCAGGCAGGAAAACCCATGAGACCCTTACCGCCAATTAGCCAAAGGAATACCAGATATGGAGCTGTGGCTCAATGTGGCAGAGCACTACTCTTGAGCATAAAAGCAAAGGGACAGTGCCCAGGCTCTGAGTTCAAGTCCCACAACTGACTCACATATGCCAAAAAAAAGTTTCAAGGGTAGAGATGTTAGGAACAAGTCTTACATACTTTCTGTCTTATTGGGTCACAAAAAGCGGACAAATATGAGGGCAAGTGGAATATATGGAAACAGGAGAGCAGAGGATTACTGGAGGAGATTCTTGAAACTTGATGTAGATTCTAAGACACTGGAGGAGGATTATGGATAACGAGGCCTGGTGTTTCCCCTCATTCATTCACTCTCAGCTCCACATTGTCCCAGACACAAAGACAAGTCACGTGACTGCTAATATTTATTGAACATGAAGAGGGAGAACTTATTCAAGTAGAGTTGTCCTGGATATGGCAAAGAGAAATTTAGAGAAAACCTTGATTCTTGATGGATTAAGTCATTCTAGGTGATTAGGGAAGATCTTGAAGATGCAGATGCAGAGATGAAATCTTTGTGTGTGTTGGAACTCAGGTCATATAACTTTTCAGAAGATCCCTGGAGATGAGAAGGGGTGAACCTGGAACCCAAGTAATGAAGTGTTCACTCAGCACTAAACAAGCAGAATATGGAAACTTACTAAGCATTCCATTAATTGAATTGAAGAAAACAGAAATTCTATTACAGTGGCAAATGGTGAAGAAATAGAATTCCCTGGCCCTCTAACTTGTATTATTTACCAGAATAGGGGATCACAGGGTACCAAGTAAATGAATTATTTCTATTGCTCATGTGGTCTTAAGCTTCCCCCAACTGATTCTATAAAAAATTGAAAGTAATGAAGGATCAGAGGCTTGTTTCTGCCATCTTTAGCATGAGAAGTTTTGAAGAACTTTCATATATTAATAACTAATGGCAAAATCCACTTAATTTTATTAAATGCTTATTTCATAAAAGCTGCTGAAACTTTTACAAACGTTACCTGAATAAAGTCTCACAGAAAGTCTGAAATAGAGCTGGATAAAGTAACTCAGAATCTGTTCTCCATATTGGAGGACAATTGGGTGGGGGCAGACCTTCCCTGATGAGAAGTCGAAGGCATGCAGAGTTCCAAGGAAGACAGGGTAATCATAGTGGGATCAGGAGATGGCCTCTATGTCTTGTAGATTGACCACAAACACTGATGTGAATGCACTAGAGTTTCATATTCACTCCTATTCCTTTTCCTTATAGATTTTAAATCTTAGTTATTCTTAGCAAATTATCAATCACTGGCCTCTTTTCATCTATGTTATATCCACACAGCAAAACTGTAAGGGAAATAGCACTTTTCTTCTCATTTTGTAGGTTCTGAAGTCATTTGGTCTCAAACTCCTGGCAAGACTGGGTCCTGAATCCAGGATACCCAAATCCAAATTAAACTCTCCACATAAGCCTCCTTAGCAAATTATTTTCATTGGAATCTTTGGCAACAACCCTATATGCTTGTGGAAGGCCCTGGTCCCAATCTACCCTCAGCCTAGGAATCACCAACCTGGAGGCTTAGGCTACTTTGTCACTTCGGACTTGCAGACAACGATCTGTTGAGGTAGAAAAGAACACATTTAGATACCCACTCTTTTGTATTTCTTTGAGAGAAACCAGATGACCCTCCAGCTTGCAACAAAGGAGACAGATCACCTTCCCTAGAATTTTCCCTTTTTGTGACATAAAATTCAGGGAAAAAAAAGCAAGGTAGATAGGCTTACCAACTTTCGTCAGGTCCAGTATGTTTCCTTCAACAATTCCATGTTTTTCACAAAAATTCATAAACTTTTCCTTAATTTCTGTTCCCACATCTGGTTGTCGGCCTGGAAACAGAAGTACAGTAACCAGCATGTCTTACATATTGGTCATGGAGATGGGTAAAGAAGCAAGGATCTAAGAGAGTGGCAACAGCTGGGTATTCAGGCAGAATTTTACATCATTAGAGTATCTTTCTAACATGCTAAGAGAGTTTATAATCTTCCCATCACAGAGGACCAAAGGTAAGCATCTGCCTTCAGTGGGGGAGAAATTACTGGAGATCATTGGGAAGACAATTTAATATCTAGGATTCCTTTATTTCCCCACTTTTCCATCCCCAGATAAGTATCATCATGCAAATACTTTACCATAGAGTTCAGCTAATTGGAAATTTTTCTCATTCTTGAGAAGAATTATAACATATTCATCATATTCCACATCAGCTATACTATACACATTGTGCCCATCATCTGTGGAGAAATCAGAATAGAGCTCAGAATTTCTTAATTACATGAGAATAATGGAAACTATTTCTCTGCCCAGCACACACCAAAGCAAATTCATATTCTGAAAGAAATATGATGAAAACATCTAATGCCTTCTGTTTGTATTTCCTTGGGCTTCATAAAACATTTCTACCTAAAGTGATCACTGGTGAGCAGAGTACTTGTCCCCAGCAGCAACTTCCCCTCCGTCACCCTCTTTGAGATCTATCCATGTCCCTCAGTATTTTGTAGGTGGCATGGTCTCTCTGGGGACAATGGCATTACATACACGAGGCTACAGCCATCAGGAGTGATCGAACAGATTTCAACAAATGAGAAATTATCCTACCCAACTTACCTCAACTTTTTTTTTCCTGCCAACTAATTTTTGTCGCAGGCAGTACTTTTGACCACATTGCCCTCTTTATCTGACGGGGTTACGTGTTAGGTATTGACTTTTGCTCACATGTTCCCTGAATTCAGAATGTGGCAAATAGAATGGGCTCCTCATATTAGGAAAATAAGTAATAATAATTGGTCAAGGTCCTAAAAAATAACGCACTTTAATAAATCCCATACTCTTAGATATACAATTTAGAAAGACTTTTTGTATACTTACACTGAACAGTATATACACCATCCTTCTCTTTCTTATCACAAGTTACAAAGAATTCAGTACACTGTTCATTTACACTGTAAAACAGAATGAGTTAATACATGATTGAAGCTGCCTTCCCAGCCTCTACTCTAACCATAATTTGAGTTTCTGATTCCACTTCTATTTTACATATACCAAATAGGTTTTATTTATACTACTTCTTCTGTCTGTCTGTCTGTCTGTCTGTCTGTCTCTCTTTCCCTGCCTCACTTATGCCAGTCCTTGATCTTGAACTTAAGGCCTAGGCACTGTCCTTAAGCATTTGTACTCAAAGCTAACTACTGCTTGAACCTCAGTTTCAATTTGATATTTTAAGAATGACTAAAACAAACTTTTCCTATTGCTTTGTCTCACTGCTACTATACCACAGCCACTTGTTTAGCGCATTAGCTGAGTGTTCACCATATGCTGGCCTCTTAAATTATACTTTATAAATGTCACCTTACTTGGTACTCCCACAAACTCATAAGGCAGAAAATCAATATGGAAAGGGATGCATCTCCTTGATCAACAACTAGTAAGACATGCTATATTGTCACACTAATATTGTTCAACTGTTTATATCTCTTCCTTCTCCCATTCCTAATAAATTTGTTCTTATAACCAACTCTTAATTCTTGCAAAGTCCCAGACCCATCAAGTCCTGGTTCAGTATCACATGACTTGGATACAGGTTCAGCATGTACCAGCACACCACCACCTCTGTCCATGTGTATCCAAGTATTTGTATGTACATGTGTGTGCCTCTACTTATTTCCATGTATAGTTGTGTATGTAGAGGTCAAAGACAAAATCCAGGTTTCTGTTTTCCCTTTCCCAAACAAAAAAGGCCATACTTACATGGTATGGAATTTAAAGAACAGGGAAGAGTTCTTCAAGAGATCAATATATTCCACAAAAACTCATGCTACCATTTTCTTCTATGTTTTCCTTTTGGTCAGAGCCTAGGAGAATGGTAAACCACTGCCCTGTAATCTGCAATTAAATAAGTAAGCTGATTGAGAAAAGAGAAGCATTAGCATATGGACACTTTTCTCCTTGGCTCTCATCAGTGGACCAGAACTTACAAGGTGATTTGCAGTTGGAATTAGCTTTTGGGTCCATTGGCACAGCACTTACACTCCTTTCTGCTGTCCCTCCATCAAGAGTGGCTGCCCCAAGCATTGTCACATTTCAGTATGGTCCAACTGCTCTTAGTTGAAGGTCTGAAACTACTCCTTTTGTCAAATGTTAAAGAATTTCTAAGCCCTCAAAGGATTTACCTGGCTTCAGATTTCCCCAAGACTTTCCCTTCCCCCAGCAAAATCAGAAGTTGAGGTACTCCATGACTCTACTTTTGATGGATCAAAGTTCTTTGCAACTTTCATTTCTCCTTCATTGTTGGCACAGACTAAGGTCAGTCCCAGATATAGGAGCAGCAGCTTCATCTTTGTAGTGGATTAAACTGTGTCCTCCACAAGCACCAGAGTCTTTCCCTGACAGTGGTTCTACTTCAAAGCTCCTTGGTCTTTATATATATATATCTTGAGTCCAGTTTTAAAGTACAATTTTCCACTTTCCCTCCTCCCCTTCCATGAAATAATTATTCCATTCACTAGCATGAAGCCAAGGATTGCTGCTGCCATTTGAAGCTTGGCAATTCATCTCTTTTAGATTTATTTAGTTAGTTACCTCACAGCTATCAAAACACATTCTCAGGTTGGGAAATGGGACTCAAGTAGTGGAATGCACAAAGCCCTGAGTTCAAACTCCACTAACGCCAATAACCACAAACAATACAAAAACAAAACTAAGAAAACACATTCCTAAGAAAAATAGTGAGTACACTAAAGAGTGACCACTTGGAAGCATTTAGCATTGGTCCTGGCTTGGAATTAGAAAGCCAAGGTAATAGGACTAAAGATTAACTGGGAAATGAAATGTGTAATAATTAAATGACTCAATTTTTAGAAATCTCGGGAACAAAGAATCTATTTCTATCAAAGAAGTGACTTGGCAACTAACACAAAGCATTAAAATAGGGCTGGAATATAATGTCTCTAAAATAGGTGTCTTCTATTTCATACTTCGTGTGTGAGTGTGTATGGAGTGTTTGTGGGAGGGGGTGCTTGTACATATGTTTGTGCCAGTCCTGGGGTTTAGGTCTGGACCTAGGAGCTATGCCTAAGTTTTATTTTGCTTAAAGCTGGCATTCTATTACTTAAGCTACAGCTTCACTTCTGGCTTTTTGGTGTTTATTTGGAGATAAGAGTCTCACAGCTTTTATTGCCCAGGATGGCTTTTACTCATGGTTCTCAGATCTCAGCCTCCTGAACTGGTAGGATTACAGGTATGAACCACCAATTCTTAACTCAGTATATTTTACTTTCCCTTTTCCACTAATCCTAACTACTGCAGTCTTTCTTCTCCCTACAAGAAAAGTACAAGTATTTAGTCTCTATGTGTAACTCTGCATTATGGGCCCATAACAAAAGAGAAGAACAAAATGTCAATCCCTCCTTAAAATACCTTCAATGAAGTTGGAGAAGTGGATGATCTATTCAGATACTTTCTATTCCAACTCTGCTGAATGGTACCAAACTATAGAACAGTCACTGAAGCAACAGCAGCGAAGTGCATCAGAGCATCACTAAGCAGCTGTGCTGACGTGGGTTTCATTTGCATCTCTCCTGCTTTGAAATCGAACAGATGTGAGCTTTTTCTGAGCCTTCATCTCTCCTCTCTGACCAACCCCACTTCTGCCTGGTAATTGATTGCTGCAGGGATTCAGTGAGAGGATGAGCACCAGACCTTCAGTGAGAGGTCTAGCATGCACAGAGCCAATGAGATCAGAGATGGTTCCCCAACAAGGTGAGACTTAGGGAAGGCCCTGAACATTAGGGAGGGTGTGCAAAGGGGAAACACCACTCTAGGTAGAGGAATGTTGTGAAGAGCATTCTGTGTTGTGTTATTAAAAGCTACAGGTTCACTCCTCCTGTTTTGTGCAATGGACTTGCCCAAACTAGAAAGAAGAGGCTGGGGGAAGGGGGCACAAAGTAGGAACTGTGACTTTCTGTCTGTGAAACTGTTTGTTTTGGCTTCTTTACATGATTACGTTTCTTTTAGGTAAGAAATATACTAAGCTATTTACCAAGTAGTATTCCATGTCAAAGACTACTGTGTATAACCAAACAAATTGCAGTAATAAGAAGCTGTTCTCCCCAATTTCAATTTCTTTCTGACAGCTAAATTTTGTGGCAGGAGGCACATATGACCAAGTTGCTCTCTTCATCTGGTACCATAGATACTAATCCATGTGTGCACCAGTGGCTCTTGCCAATAGTCCATGCTACTCAGTAGGCTGAGTGAGATGCCAGCCTGGCAAGCAAGCCAATTAACCAGCAAAAGGCCAGAAGTAAATGTGTGTGTGTGTGTGCATGCTCATGCACACACACACACACACACAATTCAGCCTAGTCACTTAGAGTAAATTACTGTTTCAGCCCAAAGATAGTTTGACTCAACTATTTCTACATTTTCTGTACAAAATAATCCATGATACTTTTATAGTATTGAGTCAAGTACCCCGTCATACAGGTAGTTTTCTTTGTTTCAAGCAAATAGGCAAAATTGTGCTTAGCTTCATTTTTAAAATTATATTTTTGAAATTTAAAAGTCACTCTACTCTTGTGTGATCATTCCCACTTGTGGTCAACCAATTTTAAGCAGTTCTATTTTGAAACATATGGAACTTCAGATATCCCAAGTGGCTGTGGGTTTCCCGAGTTGGAAATACTGGGTTTGACAAATGGTGAAATACTGTGTACTTTAATCCCACAAAATGATTTTCTCCAAGAATGCTGGCTGCCTGTAATCCACCATATTATCAAACTGAATCTGGCTCTTTTTGGAATGTGAGGCTGATAGGAGGGTTGGCTACTCTTGCTGTGCAGATTCTCTTGATGCCATTCACCCTCCATTCTTGACTCTGTTTGTAAAGGCCAGATTGTAAGTTTCTACTCCTGTTCTTATTCCCTGTGAGAAAGCTAACTTCCTTCTATAGGCACACATATATTCCTACTGCATACTTGATCAGTAGCTTCATCTTTGAAATTCTTGTACACTAATGCTATTTTTATTGTTAAGAAACTGTACAGACGGTTACATTTATATGAGTAAGGTAATGAGAACATTTCCTATCAAGAACTAATGCTATTTTTAAAGCATGAGTCTTGTAACAAAAAGAAGGAAATTTATAGAAAGTCCCTTTGTAAGTATGTCTATTATAACCAGGTAGTAACTCATTTTTATATTACTTGGCCACAGGAGAAGAGGGTAGAATACAAAACTAGACGTGAAGCCTGTATTTTGGATGATCTTATCTGTTAAGGCCTGGTCTAACTGTATTCCACTCTGGCTGTCTCACTCATTCCATTTCAAGTCTACCATCTTATATGGTGGTTGGCTTAAGCATTCCCAGAATAGCCTGTGAACAATAAGTGAACAAAATCAAACATCAGAAACACCTGAGCACTGTGATATAATCCAGCTAGCTAGCTAGCCAGAACCAAAGATGGACTAACAGTCAACACAGAGAGGTCCTTTGCTTTATAATAGAATTTCCTTAACTAACACTTTGCTTTTGCATTTAAATATATATATGTACATATGTATTTCTAATAGAAATTGTGGAATAATGATTTGAAAACTTGCGTAAGTTACAGAAAATAAAGAATATTATACTAATGAATTTTTATATTGGGGAAGGAGATGAGGTAGGATGATTCTCTCATCCTAAAATAAATAAATAAATAACATAAAAGGTGTTGGTATCTACCAGATGACATAAGCACATGGAAGTAAGATTCACTTTATAAAATTTCACTTGGGACTTGGGGGTTTAGTTCAGTGGAACAACACTTGCGTGGGGGCTGGTAATGTGGCTTTGTGGTAGTGTTCTTGGCTAGCATGCATGAGGCTCTGGGTTAAAGTTTTTCCCCCATCTATTGGAAATTCATTTATTTTATAATTGAAGATATACAGAACATAGCACTGGCACCTAGAATGCTTTTTATTATGTATATGTATAGATAGGTTTGTTTTATTTTCTTTTGTTTGAGACAAGACCTTACTTTGCAACCCAGGCTCACCTGAACACAGCATGGAGTCCAAGCTGGCCTCAAACTCACGATCTTTCTGCCTCCACTTTCTAAATTCTGAGATTGTAGGTGAACTCCCCTCTGTCTGACGAAAAGATATTTAAAAACTAATGACTCAACTTAATTCAATTACCATTATCAAATTCCTCCTTTCTTCAAGGCCTATAGCAGGCGCTCTGAAGACAAAAAGGTGAGAACTCCGCCCTTCAGAAGGCCCTGGCCAGAATAAGGGTTCCTAGAAAACAATCTATAAAGTGGAGAAACTCTTAGAAGTTATAGGAGACAATGGTTATGAAGAAGAAATGGGAGAAAAGGAAAGGGAAAATACGATTTTATGCAACCAATCACTGACCATCTAATTTGTGGTCCAGAACCAGAGGAGAAGAGCATTACCTCAGGAGCACAATGAAGGAATAGAAAATAAGCAAGAATTAGTGGGGATGAGATTTTTTTTTTGTTTGGGGGAAGTAAAAGATTTTTATGCATCTGGCGATTAAAAAGGGGTGACAGTGTCTTTTCCTGACAGCCTGTAAGATAGGAAAGTGAACTCCTTGTTTTCAGCTGGAAGGTTCACACTCTAATGAACAAGTCTCAGTTGGTAGAACAGTGTCAGATGGATTGAATGAACACCCTATCATCTGCCACCAGCCTGCAGAGCAAATCTTCTGATCTTGGTCTTGGATCCAACCGAGTATGAGCCTGATTCTTGTCAAGAGTCATTCTAACACCAGATTGCATATGCCTCATATTGTATACCATAAATGTTTGCATTAAAGTTTACCTTAAAAGATTTTGAAGATAATAGAAAAAGGTTTTTTAGGGGATAAATTCCAAGACATCCCAAAAAGGGATACAGAATTGACAGTAAAATCCAAACTGTTATATGGAAAGTCAAATTGCATCAGCTAGTCTGCATCTGAGACTAATAGATTTCAACTTCAAACAATCTGGTAATCAAACAAAGTCTTGTTCAAGGTTATGCTTGTAGAGGAAGTTCCAAGCATAGAAATTTGCAAGAGTTTACTTACAAAGAAAATGGATACAATGGGAACATTCTTTATCTTCGCACAAATCTCATCTGCCCTGAGCCAGACATATAAAAATAATATTTGGATGCTTGGAATGAAGACTGTAAGAAATGGATGAGCTTGTCAGATAATATTTCATTTAATCCACATAATAGGTCTACGTGGAATGTAGGGTTATCCTATTTTTACAGTGGTGTGGACAAAGTGTGGACAAAGACTCAAAAAGGTTAAGTAATCATACCAAAGACACACTGGAAGAACTCATATTTGGATCTAGACTATCAAATCCCACAACCCCACCTCCCAGAGGTCATGGCCGATGGAGGATCATGCCATAGAAGTAG